CCTCCCCGCCCCGCCGCGGCTCGGCCCCTCCGCTCGCCCGCCCGCTGCCGCCGGGGCTCCCCGCGTCCCTCCTCACCTTGCTGCGGAAAGGAAACACCCAGCCAGACACCAACCGCTCCGTAAAAACTCCTTTATGTTACAAAGTTCGCGCTCACACCCGCCGCCTCCTCCCGGCGCACAACCCGGCTGGGTGCGCATCCCTCCCCCTGGCCCCGCGCAACCGGGCTGGGGGGTGTCTCTGTCGCCTCCGGGCCCAGCGGTGCAGCTTCCCCGGGAGGGTTCTCCGCCGGTGGGTTACTTGGGAACTCGCCGGAGCTCGCTCATGAGCCAGAGCGCCATGCTGAGCAGTGCCAGGGAGCCCGACTGGTGCGTGGCGGCCAGAGGGGTGGGGACATACAGCAGCAGGGTGCTGATGCCCAGGCCCACCTGCCAAGAAGGGAGAAGGAGTAAGAACAGTTGCAGATGCAGCATTGAGACACAACCTCAGCACAGAGTATGGTGTGGAAAAGCCCATGGCCAGTCTTCCCACCCTCCAATTCAGACTGCATGCAGTATGGCGAGGCCCTCGGTTCTAGGCAGCTCCACCTCTCAGCTTGCAGGCTCTTGGAGCCAGCCCAGATCCAAGCCGTGGACAGGTCTGTCTTGTCAACGTGCTACAAAGAACTAGAGGGAGAAAAAAAATAGAAAAAAAAAACCAAACCAGTACCTGCATGCAAGCCACAGCCAATAAGGAAGTCACTGCCATCCTGGTCCTGCGAGGCAGTGGGATCTTTCGCGAGAAGAGGTACAGTGCTGTGACAGCTGTGACCGAGGTAATTCCCTGCAGAAGGAAAGAGAAACAACCACCCTTCAAGAAAAGGTCAAAGGAAAGGGGCACAGCAGCCTTTGGCTGCACCTTCCACGCAGTAAAAGAAACTGTGAGCAGTGTTTAACTGTAGAAAAGCATTAACGGCCATGACCGAATCCCAGAGCTCCCACGGCCACGAGGTTAACAACCCTGATATTTAACTGAACTTCCATTTCTCTCGCAATTAATGCTTTACTTTCCAGTAGCTTTTCCTCATTTCTTCAAGTCATTAGGGATTTTTTTTTGCCCTCTTCTGCCCTCATCTGTCACCTTGACAACTAAATGTGGAAGATGTCATCCGGAAAACGAATCTCATGTTCACCCCTCAGCTGTAGTTCACCAGTATAATCTTGCTGTGCAGGTCACCCCAGGTGATTCCTCTACATCATTTCATATCTTTTTAGTCTTAGTGATAGCTTAGTTCACAGCAGTGCCAGCAGTGGTATTTAATACCTGGATTGCTCCAACTGGCTGAGATATTTTTACAGGGTGTTACTGGTGTAAAGCAAGTTCAGAAATGCTGGAGGAAGCATTCAGCATCGGCATTTCCAAGTTTTATTTCACACAAGTTTCCCAGACATTTCAGTAGCGAGGGCTACCCTGGTCTCATGCTCACGTTATGGAAAAGGAGACAAAGAAACAAAGTCTGTAAC